AGTACGAAAGTAAATAAAAAGTATAGACAAATATACTTTTGTGTTCTATAATTTAGCATTTTTATGTTTATTTTAATTCATAACATCTGACTTCCTAAAATTTACGAAAACGGTTTTTTAATTGTACTTTTTCAGCAATTTGAAACATACCGAAGGTTTACGATCCACTCCGGCTTCTCCTACGTCTGATATCTTTTCTGGCATATCCGTACTCTTCCTGTTATGTAGTTTTCTGTGAAACAATCAAATCTTTCCTCTTTACGATATTAAAATAGAACCTTAAGATTTTGTAACCTACCCACCTTTTCTAGTTATGTTCTAATATTTGCAGAAGCAGTGAATCAGGCGGAGTATCATTGGGAGCGCATCTCGTGTGCGCAAGAGTCGCTGGACTAACGGACAAGCAGCGGGCAATGTGCAGATCATCACCAGCCGCTATCGCCGCTGTAGGAGACGGCTTAAGGTAATCACAGTCGCTTTGAACTTGGCTACCTCTTCCCTGAAGTTACGTTACCAACGGTGTACCTCCACACTCATAACTAACATGATTCTTGTTACATGCGATTCACCTTAATCATAACATGCCCATACCATGCTAACCTTTTACTTTTACCTTTAAAAGTAGCCCTACTCTCAAAATACCTACGAGTTTTATATACTAAAATTACCAAAAACCCTTATCTTATGTCTATACTGGCCACTCCGTCCGCGTGGAATTAAAAAAAGGTAAGTAGCCTATGTGTTTTTCCAAAATATTTTCTACGTCTATTCCAAATTTCATAGAGATCCGTTCAGCCGTTTAGGCTACAAAGTCTAACAAACATCCATCCATCTAAACTTTCGCATTTATAATATTAGTAAGATTGTAATTAACGATATTATTGCAGAATGGCGTATGCGGAATGTCGGGAGCAACTTAGCGGGTACAGATGGAATTGCTCTGGAGTTGGCGATGGGAATGACTTCGGACATGTTATGCCTTTAGGTCAGTATAATTGTATACCAAGTGATTATTTTATTTAATAGACTGCTCGTAACAGTACATCCAGTAGGATATGTACAGTCTGGCAAACTGGTGTTCCACTCTAACCGCTACAATCATTTAAACATTTCGAGACGCGGAATAACAATCAATACAACGCTTTTTATAAATGTACTAGCTTTCGCCCGCGACTCCGTCCGCGTAGTATTAAAAAAAAACAAGTAGCCTATGTGTTCTACCAGACTATCCTCAACATGAATGCCAAATTTCATCGAGATCCCTACAGTAGTTTAGGCTACAAACTCTAACAAACATCCATCCATGTAAACTTTCACATCCATACTATTATAATAAAGCGTAAACACACACTTCTTTGTTGCCTAAGATGTCAG